TGTCAGTGGTCTCACACAGACTGGGTTGCTTCAGTCTGTGGCTTCCCAGATTTGTGCTGGGATTCCATTTTCCCCACTGCCTGATGCCCACCACCAGGATGAGGCCAGGACATTGGCCTCTCCTGCCTCTCTGCTCTGCACTGTGTGCACTAAGAGGCTCCTGCCTGCCTCCTCTCTGTGCCCAGAGGCTGACATGAAGGTGACCCTGGGGGCTCGGCCACGCTGCTCCAAGCAGGAGAAGGCTCAGTTCTGGTTCAACGCCTCTCGGCGAGGGCTGTACCTCTGCAACGGCAGCACCTGGGTCTCCATGCTGGAAGGTACCCCTGGGGAGGTTCTGGCACTCTTGGGGAGAGAAGGAGACCCTTGCAGCAGCAGAGATTTGCCCCGGAGACCACTTTGGGATGGGAATCAGCAGCAGTGAGGGGCTGGGGTGTCCCTCTGTCTCTCCTCTGCTTGGCCAGGCTTTGCTTTGCTCTTGGTGCCCATGATGCTTCCAGAGCACCTCTGGATTCAAGTGTGTCTGTGGTCCCTCTACCTTCTCCACATGATCTGTCCCTCCTGGGAATTTTCTGAGCAGGATGAGCTCCTGTTCTGTCTGAGCAGGACAGCTCACCCCACGGAGAGCCGTGCTCAGGGTGTTGGGGCGCTGCCCCAGTGCTGAAGCATTTGTGGGATGGATAAGGGGAAAGTATAAGTAGGTAAGTAATTCAGCTGCCAGAAATACTGGGGGTAATTGGAAGCGTGGCAGACACAGGTCTCAGTGTCATCTGGGCTCTGGTGGGACACTTTGTAAGGAAAACAGTGGGAGTACCAAAGTGGGAAAGGCAGCCAGAGCCTGGGTTGGATGGGTGTTCTTCAGTAATGAGATGGATTTCATCCACTGGCACTCTCACTCACTCCAGGCTGTCTCCCAGGATCCCTGGAGAGGACATGGAGGATGGGATATGTCTCTAACTGAACTGTCCTTCCTGTCCCTCCTCTCCCAGTGTTTTTCTTGTTCTGATACCCTCAGGGTGGGTTTGGATGAGCCATTTGTTTCCCACAGCAGGTAGCAGTGACTGGACCCCCTATCCTTCCCTGCCTCTGGAAGTCATCAGGATTGGCACAGTGTCGTTGTTTCCCCAAGGAGAGCTCATGCTGGGGTCTTACTGACCTGTGCCCCTTGGTGCCACCAACACTGCTCCTTCTGCCATTTGTCCCTTCTAGTGCCCATCCATCTGCCATCGGGACTGCTCTGGAGGTTTCTGCTCCAATTTCTGCCATTAATTCCATCTTAGTCTTCTCTAACCTCTCCTGCTGTCATCTCCTCCTTTTTCTCTTGAGGATAAATATATCAAAGTGGTCAAAATCCGTGGCATGGGGTTCTTTCCTGCTCCCAGAGGACACAGCTCTGCTGGAAAACAGGCAGGGCTGGATGGGGCTGGATGTGCTGCAGTCAGCCTCTCACCACCCCCTTCACCCCCAGTGTCAGCAGAACCTTCATTTTCCCCACGAAGCTCTGCACAGCAGCTGGTGCCACTGAGCCAGCCCTCGTGGGGCTGCTCTCCAGCTAAAATTACCTGGTTTTAACCTCATCCTTCTTTTTTTTGTGGGCTCCCAGTCCAACACAGGCTGGACTACGTGGAGGAACACCAGAACCTGGTGACCAACTCGGAGACAATGGGCATTGAGGTGTTCAGCATCCCAAAGGTGGGACTGTTTGCAGCCATGGCCAACAGGATCACGCCCCCGGGATCGGCCATCTACAGGTGGACCGACGGGAAGTTTGTGCACTACCAGAACATCCCCACCCACCAGGCTCAGTCCTGGAAGTATTTCACCATTGGGAAGAAGGTGAGTCTGCCAGGAAGGTGCCCCTGTGTTTCAGTACATTAAACTGCAGATGCCCAACATTGGATTCTCTGAGCCCGGAGCCTTGGGTGTGGTTTAGAGAGTGTAGGTAACTGCATCTTGGAGATCTCCTGGGGTCTTCAAGAGCCATCAGGGCCTGCAGTTCCCTCTCGAGACTCACTGAGTCCAACCTGCTGCATTTTTAAACTCTCTTGCTTTTAAACTATTCCAGGACTTCAGAACTACCTCTTCTCCCCTGGGCAATCTGCCTTGGGGCTTGAGCAGAGGATTTGCCTGGTTCCTCTCCTTGGGAAGCTACTTGTCACTTTGGAGGAACCCCAGGAAAGCCATCTGCTGAGAGCCAGCTCCGTGCAGGGCTCCCAGGGAAGCTGGGATTGTTCCCCCTCTGTCATGACCCATCCTGGCTTTGTCCCCAGGGTGTTTCTCTTCCCACTGAAGCTGTTTCTGGAGATCTCTCAAAAGGGGTCCCTGGACTGGTGCTTGCAGAGAGAACAGAGCTGGGGATTCAGCTTTTGTGGGGGGACAGGGGGACAGCCCAGCACAGCCCTGTCCCTGGGGGTGGCTACACCTTGGCTGAACAAAGCCCTGGTGCTGTACAGGCCAGGAGGCAGGAGGCAGCCCCACTGACTCTTTCCTCACTGTGGGCTGTGGCCCTGTGCCTCTTTGTGGCCCAAACTGGGGCATAATCTCTGCTGCTCCATCTGAAGGACACTGGAGTGGCACAGAGCCAACATGACAGAGCTTGGGTGTGCTCTCTGCCTTGCACTTGGCCATCTCTGCTGCACCACTCTTGTCTCTGCACTTTCACAGGGGTTTCTTGGTATGGGAAATGTTTTGTCTCAGGGAATCGTTATAATTATTGTCATTGTTATCATTATCACACCCGCCTTTTTTTTTGTTTGAACCACTTTTGCTTACAGGAGGGTTTTTCAGCTGAACCTCCCTCCTTCCCCAGTGCATTTCATGTCCAAGCTCCCCATTCCTGGGGCTGGAGGGCATCAGTGCTGGCATCTCTGCTCTCCCTCTCCTTGTCTAAGAGTTCCTGGCTGCCAGTTGTGCCCCTGCTGTGCACAAGGACCCCCACAGGCCATCGGGTCCCTGTCCCCACTTTGTGCAGCTTGGGGACACCTCAAGGACCCCAACCAGGGCCATCTTGTCTCACACCAGCCACCTCCACCCCACTTCCCCCTGCATTTTCTTGCCCGTGCTCCTTTGAGGGGAGAAAACCAAGCCATCCTGGCTTTTCCTTTTCCAGATCTTCCTGGCAGTGGCGAATTTTGAGCAGAATGAGAGGGGTCAGGAGTTCTCTGTCATCTTCAAGTGGAGCCGCAGGAAGGCGAAGTTCGTGGCGCACCAGCGGATCGCCACGCACAGCGCCAGGGACTGGGAGGCCTTTGCCATCGAGGGAGAGGCTTTCCTGGCCGTGGTCAACCACAGAGAAGGTACCAGCCCCTCGTGCTCCCTGCAGGGTGGTGGCTGGGGCCATGGCAGGTGGAATGAGTGCAGGGGAGGTGAGCACACAGCTGCCAGCCTGGGCTCCCCCAAGACCCCCGAAGCCTTGCAGAGGAGAAAAAAAGCTTTTGGGGAAGTGGCTGACACATTCACCCTCTGGGTTTCTGACTGTAGGGGACAAGGACAGGAGTGGGGATGGTGTCTGTGCTGGATCTTTCTCCTTCTTTTAATTTTTATCCCCAGTATTACATAACCTGGTAGTGCCACAGGTGGAGCCTTTTGTGAGGCCAGATCCTCAGCTTTGTGGGCATGCAGGAAACTGAGAGAGAGCCAGCTGACCTTTAGATGTGATCCAGCCTGATTCCCCTCCCCAGGCAGCTGTTCTGGGCTGGGATGTGCAGCCCTTGGTTGGGAGCACAGCCCTGGCTCTGTGGGATTCTCCCAGCTGGGTTCAGATGATGGCCAGTGGCTCCTTCCCTGCCACCAGGGCTGCCTCGGGGGCATCAGCGCCTCTGGCACCAGGCTCAGAGCTGGCAGCAAGTTCCTTGGCACCTGTGGGCTGGGCTGGAAAGTCCCTGTGTCACCTGCTGGAGTCCATCAGGGTCACTTTGGATGAGACCTTCCCTTGTGGCAGTGTGGTCCCTTTGCCAGCTGTGCACATCACACAGGGGTTGAGACCATCATGGCCAAGCCAAACTGGGGTTTCCCTCAGAGTGGACTGGAGGTTCAGTCCCTGAGGAGCTGCCACTTATCCGTGTGGCCATTCCCACTCTTCCTGCAGCCTTTCTTTGTCCAAGTCCTTGTTGCATTGAGGATTTAAAGCCTGCTGGGTCCCACACAGGCATGAGGTGGAGATGCTTGAGCAGAGCCCAGGAGCTGGATGGAGCATGTGCTTTAGGGCAGAGGGGAAGCCCCAAATATCAGGAGCTTAGGGGTGTAGGCACACAGTGTGTGGTGATTGGGATGGGCTGAGCCTCATCCCCAGTGGCACAGCTGTGAGCAGCAGGTGAGCAGCACTGACACAATGAGCCATGGAGTGCCCAGTGCACTGAGCAACCACCAAAGGGAACAGAGAGCTCACAGGGGCACTGCATCAATGTGAGGGGATAAAAGGTTGGGCTAAAGAACCGAAAAGACAGACACTTGAAGCCTTCTGATGTGGTGTTATTCTGTATGGGTTGAAGCTTTCTGAAATTGTGTGGTGATCCTCTGTGTGTTGTGGCCTTCTCAATTGTGACATGTGCTGTGGCACAGGGACACAGCTGGGACTGGCCCTGGTACACAGGGCCACCCTGTGGGACAGCCAGCAGAGCTTGTCCACACTGGGATGCTGGCTGGAAGCCTCTGGAGTGCTGCTTGTGCCTGCTCCTCCTCTGCCAGGGCTGCCACAAAGCTGCTGCTGTGCACTTGGGAGAAGCTGTTGGTGTGTTCCATGGGATGGAGGCTCTAGGAATGGAGACACTCGGTGGGGATGGAGGGGGCCTTTAGTAGGGATGGAGGGTGTAGAATCTCTTTGGCTACTGCTTGGGGAGCAACAGGTCACTTGCAAACAGCCTTGTGACCTGCTGGTAAATACTCGTGTAACTGAGCCTGTTTTGGGGTCTTGTTTCCTCCACAAAGCAGGAATTGCTTTCCCTGATGGTGCACATCTGTCCCCCCCCAGGGAACAACCACAACATAGATAGCGTGATATACAGGTGGAACCCCAGGACAGGGCTGTTTGAAACCAACCAGACCATTCCCACCTCTGGAGCCTACGACTGGGAATTCTTCACCATCGGGCCATATTCCTTCCTGGCTGTAGCTAACACATTCAATGGCACGTCCACTAAGATCTACTCACACATCTACATCTGGCTCAGTGGCTCTTTCCAGCTCTTCCAGTCTATCCTGGTAAGGCTTGGCCACTGCTCCTCAGTCCCCCCTCTGTGTTTGGACAGGGCAGCCACATCCAGCTTCTCATGGCCTCCTTCCCCGCAGACATTTGGTGCAGCTGACTGGGAGGTTTTTCACATTGGGGACAGAGTCTTTCTGGCTGTTGCCAACAGCCACAGCTATGACAGCGGGATGCCAGCACCCTCCAACTTCTATGCCATCAACTCCTCCATCTATGAGCTGAACATCACAGCCCAGATGTTTGTGAAATTCCAGGACCTTCTCACCTACAGGTACCTGTGCAGGGATTCAGGGTGCTCCTAGGTCTGTGTCCTTCCCCTGAGCAACCCAAAGGTCTCATAGAATCCCAGAATGGTTTGGGTGGGAAGAGACCTTAAAGCCCTTCCCTTTCCAACCCTTGCCATGGGCAGGGACACCTTCCACTATCCCAGGTTGCTCCAAGTCCCATCCAACCTGGCCTTGGGCACTTCCAGGGATGGGGCAGCCACAACTGCTCTGGGCAACCTGTGCCAGGGCCTCTCTTCTTCCAGTTTAAAACTACACTTGCTTGTTTCCTGGAGGGTTCCTGCAGGCTTCACTCTCCTAGGGACTGAGACTGGTGGGAAGGGTGATGGGTGATGGCTCCTTGGCATCAAATCCCAGTGGGAGCTGGGAGAAGGGCCTGGATTTGGGAATGAGGGTGGATTTCTTTCAGGAGTAGCCTGGGAAGAGCAGGGTTTTCTGTGTGTCCTCAGGGTGGCAGAGATCGGGGTGGGTGGCCACACAGGGGTCGTGCCACCTGCCCCTCTGCTCCTCTCATCCCCAGTGCCCTGGACTGGGAGTTCTTCTCGGTGGGAGACGACTCTTTCCTGGTGGTGGCCAACTCCTTCGATGGCTTCACCTTCTCTGTCAACAGCATCATCTACAGGTACTGCAGAGGGCAGGCACAGGCACAGGAGCTGCCCTGCGTGGGCACAGGATTGCTCCCCGTTTCCAGGATTGCTCCCTGCTTTCAGGAGGCTTGTTCCCTGTTTTTGGGAAGCTTGTTCCCCGTTTTCGGGAGGATTGTTCCCCCTTTTCAGGGGGCTTGTTCCCTGCTTTCAGGAGGATTGCTCCCTGTTTTCGAGAGGATTGCTCCCTCTTTTCAGGAGGCTTGTTCCCTGCTTTCAGGAGGCTTGTTTCTTATTTTTGGGAGGCTTGTTCCCCCTTTTCAGGAGGCTTGCTCCCCGTTTTCAGGAGGATTGCTCCCCGTTTTCAGGATTGTTCCCTGTTTTCAGGAGGATTGTTCCCTGTTTTCAGGGGGCTTGTTCCCTATTTCCAGGAGGCTTTTTCCCCATTTTCAGGAGGCTTGTTCCCTGTTTTCAGGGGGCTTGTTCCCCATTTTCAGGAGGCTTGTTCCCTGTTTTCAGGAGGCTTGTTCCCCATTTTCAGGAGGCTTGCTCCCTGTTTTCAGGAGGCTTGTTCCCTGTTTTCAGGCAGGAGTGGGAAGCCCCAGTGAGGGCCATCCCACCCTGAAGCACAGCAGGGAGATGGGAGCTGGCAGCGCCATGGCTCAGCTCCCCTGCCTGTCCCCGGTGTCCCCGGAGCTGACTGCCTTCCCCGTGCAGGTGGCAAGGCTACGAAGGCTTCGTGGCAGCCCACCAGCTCCCCACGGTCGGCTGCAGAGACTGGGAGGCGTTTCACACCGCTGAGGGCTCCTTCCTGCTCTACTCCAGCGCCAAGGAGCCGCTTTCCAAGGTGCTCAAGCTGAAAACCACCTGAGGCAGCTGAGACACGCTCAGCTCATCGCCAGCTCCAGGGCAAGCTGGGCTGCCGGGTGAAGATGGACCACAGAGCCCAGGAATGGCTGCAGCCTCAGCTGGGCAGTGGCTGGCTGTTCGCTCTGCAGGAAGGGAGGAGGAGGAGGGGGGAGCTCCAGGGCTCCCTGCAGCCTTGTCCAGGGGTTGTTTCTCTTGGGAAAGCTCTGCCACCATGCTCCAGAGCCATGTCCTACCTAAGGTTCTGCAGGCCAGGTGCATCCCCTGGCTTACCAGGACCATGATGCTTGGCAATTTCCAGTCCCCAGGAGGGACCCAGAGCTGCTCGTTGCTGTGGCCAAAGCTTGCACAAAGCCAGGGAAGGAAGAGGCAGAGCAGAGCATGAGCTGCTGGGATGGGTGCATGGCAGAGGGGAGTAAACACGTGAGAAATGGCAGAAAAAAATGTGTCCAGGCCTGGCTCTGTCTGCCTGGGGCTGTGACGTTCCTGAGGACCATCTGGTTTGACATTGCAGCCATTCTTCATGTCACCTTCATTGCCACTGCCACAGGTGCCTGCCCACCCTCCCGCTCTGCCATGGCTGGGTTGGGTCTCCCTCAGCAAGTGTTGTGTGTGTTGTTCAGACCTGTTGGTGTGTTCAAGGGCCAGTGCTGGTCCTTGCTGGTCCATGCACCTTTGCATGGGGTTAGGGACCCCTGAGAAAACCTGCTTTGTATTTGAACCCATCCAGCTACCACGGGAATGGGGAAAAACCCAAACCTGCTTCAGGTGAAACTGTGGCCTCTTTTCTTTTCCTCACCTTTGCTGGGGGACTCTTCTGCTTAACCAGAGCTCTAATAAACTGTGTGCACCCAGCCTTTCTTCCACATGAGTAACCCAGCTGCTCTGCCCATGGCAGAGGCATCCCTTCACCCAGCAAGTCACCCCTGAATGTCCATGGCCATAGGTAGCCCAGTGAGGATGAGGTGGTCCTGAGCACAGGAGTGTGCTGGGGTGAGGGGTTGCCCCTCTGTTCCCCCCACCCAGGACCCCCTGCCTCACCGGAGTGTCCCAGAGCACCTCTCAGCCTTCCCCAGAGCCAGGGTTCCTGCTGAGCTGGGCCACCCACCCTGGCACTGGGGAGTGCTCTGGAGGTGCCAGCCCCATCGAGAAGGGCTGGGGGTCACAGCCTGAGCCGTTCCAGGGTCCAGACCTGAAGGGTGAGCCTCTGCATCCCTCCCTCCTCTCCCTGTTCAGTGCAGCTGCAGCTGGCTCTGCCAGAAGGATCATTTCTCCCTTGTAAGAAAAGGGAGAATTTGATTTGCTTCCATCACTGAGCTGTGAGCAACAACTCTAATTCAGTCCCGAGGAAGGGCAAGATAAGGCAAGACCAGATGTATCTGGGGAGCTGGAGGTGGGAAGGGATGGCACCTAATCGGAGTCCTGCTGGTACATTGAATTTAGGTTGGTCTGCTTTGGGAGAGATTGAATTAAGATAAGCACCACCAGCACCACCACCCTCCATGGACACTCATCTCCCAGCACAGCACAAACCCTCAGGGCTTTTCCTAAGTGCAGGCCTTTATTGAAGAAACAAAGGTTTTGGCGTTTCCCCTGCATTGCTGGAGGCAGGCAGAGGCTGCCAAGGTACCGAGGGCCTTGGGGAGGATGTCCTGCCCTTGGCAAGGCTGATGCCCCACTGGAGCCAAGACGGGGTGACCCCTCTGCAGTGACCCACTGCACCCACTTGTCCCACAGCCCATCTCTCCCCAGCCACAAGCATGTGAGTGGGGCTGTGTTCCCTGTGAGCCCAGCTCTGGTAGGGAAAAAGGGTCTGGCTGGGGCTGTTTGTCCCCAGGACCCCGTCACCATGGACAGGCCCGCATGGGGTGTCCCTGGCATCCCTCCCGCACGTCGTTTGCTCACACACTCAGTCCAGCATCACCGGGGAGGGGAGATTGGTGGCACTTGGCTGCAGAAAGCACTGGAGAATCCCGCCGGGAAGCTTTGATGCCCACCGGGTGGCCAGCGGCTCCTCGGGAAGAAGGCTGAGGCTGGCAGCCATCCCTGCACTACAGGGCGGTGCTGGAGGTGCCCGCAGGAGCCGGGGCGCTGGGCAGCGAGCTCGGGCGGTCCCCGTGCCCACAGGAGCCCTCCCGGTTGTGCCGCACGTAGCAGAGGACGTAGCCGATGACCATGGCGAACCAGCCGAACATGGCGACGAACGCGGCCACGTCCGCGCTCCTCCGCCGCGCGCCGCACAGGTTGGCACCGGCATCCAGGACCTGCAGCAGCGGCTTGCCCACGTACTCCTGGCGCGGGGCCGTGTGGCAGGTGATGTCCCGCGCCGAGTCCAGGTCCAGCCGCGCCTCCCACAGCACCTCCTGCAAGGCGCACTCGCAGTGCCAAGGGTTGTTGGCCAGCCGGAGCCTGGCCTTGAGCGCCAGCAGGGCCTCCTTGGGAATGCTGCGGATGCGGTTGCCGGAGAGGTCGAGGCTCCGCAGCCCAGCCGCCACCCCTCGGAAAGCTGCCCCGTCGATCTTCTCGATGGCATTCCTGGAGAGGTCGATTTCCTCCAGGTGGGAGAGGTGCCTGAAGGCATTGCTGGGGATCCTGGTTATGCTGTTGGCATCCAGCTTGAGGAACACCACATCTCTGGGGATGTCCTTGGGGATCTCCTCCAGGTGCTGGGAGCTGCAGAGGACAGCCTTGGCCCCGGCCCGCTGCGTGCACTGGCAGCTGGGGGGGCAGGAGCCGGCCCAGGGGATGCAGAGCAGGAGGCAGAAGAAAGCCTGGGCCACGCTGGTGGCTGCCGTGGTGCTGAGGGTCATCTTGCAGGCAGGCAGCTCAGCATGGCTGCCGGCAGCTCCCCGGGCGTGGCAGCAGCTCCTGGGCAGCAGGACGGCCCCTCGGCGTTCTCTGCCCTGGCTGAAGGGAAGCTGTGGGTGGAGGGGATGTGACACGGTGTTATTTCCTGGAACACCGGGAATGGCTCATGTGTGATGTGCCCGGGCAAAGGGGTGAGAGGCTGGGCTCATGAGACTGGAGAATGAGGCTGGAGTGACACTGGTTATCTTTTCCAGGATAGCTTAATTCGGATTAATTAGAAATAGAAGCCCCAGCTCCCCTACCCCTGTCTCTGCAGAGACCACCCAGGTGGACAAAGGGAGCTGCAGGATGGGGTGTGGAGATGGGCCCGGAGCCTCTGCCCCATCCTGCTGCCAGTTTCCAGGGGGGATGCAGTCGTTTGCTGCTGGAGAGCAGCAGCAGTAAATTCCTATCTCACCAACCCTGAGTGTTTAAAAAAAATGATGAGTCAGACTCTAAGGATCATCAGACTGATTTAATCACCACCACGGTTTTAAGTAACAAGATGTGGAGCTCTTTTGCTTTCCCTTCCCTTCCCTTCTGGTCTGTGAGCTGGTAAAAGCCAGGTTTCCAAGAGTTTCACTAAACAAGTGTTTGGAGGTGAGTTTGTTTTCTAAAGTAAATAAAGAGTGTGATTCGATAGCCTGACTCTGGGAGTGGGAGGTGAAGGGAGGAGCCACTGCCTAGCACAGTAAAAGGGGTGATGTAGGAGCCCAAAAGGACACCCCAATACTGAAAGGGGCAAGGCAGGAGGTGAACTAGGTGGAACGCATTTCCTCTGCCTTTGGTGCTGCTCATGTCCCTCCTCCTACCTTGGCCAGCCTGGGAGAAGAGATCCTCATGGAGGGGAGATCTAGAAGGCCAAGGGAACCTTTCTCATGGGAATTAAATGTCCCATGTGAGTCATTATGGGCACCGAGTTGTTGTCTCTCTGGTACCACAATCCTTCTGCTAATGGCATTCCCCTGGTAGCAGCAGCAGCATCCCTCAGGTGTGCCCATGCTCAGGGTACCACAGAGGGATGCTCACACCCGAGGGATGCTCACACCCGAGGGATGCTCACACCCGAGGGATGCTCATACCTGAGGGATGCTCACACCCGAGGGATGCTCACACCCGAGGGATGCTCACACCCGAGGGATGCTCATACCCGAAGGACGCTGTCTGCACCTCTGCCCGCAGCCCTGCCCTCAGCAGTGGATTCTGCCGGGGAGATGAAGTTGGGCTTCCCGGGAATCCCTCTGGCCCTGCGAAATCTACCGGGCTCTGCCAGCTCCGTCTCTCCGGGGGAACAAGGAAGCGACGCCGGTTCCCACCGCGTGGAAGGGCTCCGGGGGCCCCTGAGAGCCGCAGCCCCGCGGACCCCGGGGGTGTGCGGGGGTGATGCTCTGCCCGCCCTCCCGGGACTCCTCCGCGCCGCGCCCCCGACCCCCTCCGCCCGCGCTGCCCCGAGCCCGGGGGTCGCTTACCGGCTCGGCCGGGGCGGCTCGGCTTCGCTCGGGCTGTAGGTGCGGTGCCGGTGCCGGTTCGGTTCGGTCCGGCCGCGGTCCCGCTCGGCCCCACCTGTTGCTGCGGCCGCTCCCGCGGCGCCCCGGGCCGGGCGGTCCCGCCGCGGGCGGTGCGGGGGCGGAGCGGGGCCGGGGCGGTGCGGTGCGGGACCGGGGCTGTGCGGGACCGGGGCTGGAGGCAGTGCGGAACCGGGGCTGGAGGCGGTGCGGGACCGGGGGCGGAGCGGGGCCGGGACCGGGGCGGTGCGGGACCGGGGCTGGAGGCGGTGCGGGACCGGGGGC